AATAACAGTTTTACAAATGATTGGTTACGGAGATAAAACCCGAACACAACAGGAAGTACCTCGCCTATTGCATGAGAAATTTCCTAACATACTGGCCATATTTCAAGAAACAATGAGCAAAATAGAAAAGCAGTATCGCAAGCTTGGTCATATGGGGCAGATAAAAAAAGCAGCTGTCAATGCAACGAGTGGTGAAGTCAAATTAGATGTGATGCTTGAGTTTGAGAAAAACCCACATACATCGAGTAGACAGGCATCCATTACATTCAATGTTAGTCATACATCGATAGTAAACGAATTAAAAGAAAATAAAATGCATCCCTATAAAATGATACCTACTCAGGAGCTCATCGAAGACGATTTTGATAGATGAACTTATTTTTGTAAGCAAATGATTTTCATGTTGGATAACAGTATCATCCAATTAAAAGACGTTATGTTTTCTAAAGAGTTTACTTTGTCTCTTCAACTGTCATTCTAATCGTCGAAATTGCCGCTACTGGTCAACGGAAAATCCTAACTGGATTTGGAATTTGGAATAAATGTCTGAACACTGAATTATTCCTTTCATTAATTTGAAAATCATGATGAGATCCGTGACAGTTATTTTATCGTCTATAGGCATAGTGGTTATGTGTTCTTCCTAACCAACATAACATCTAAGAACTTGAAGGTTTCCATATATTGTATAAATTCACCGGATAAGTTCAAGTATAGGTCATGATTTGACTAACCATTTGAAAATATTTTTATCACTAAGGGTAGAATCACTCTATGTCACTGTTAACATTTCAAGTCTTTCTGGCACTTATTTTTACACAAAATATTTGATTCATTGTTTCGAGAGGAGAAAACCCCCGAACACACAAAAAACTTCTAACTTTTATCTTTCTCACCAACAAACTAATCATGCTAAGCAGCTGAAACTGTGGAATATGTTTGATACCAATGCATTATTACCAGAGTTATAATATAGTTCATTTTTGAAGCAGTCTTTGTTTTCGCATTGTCTCACTTAAGCAGCAACTTTTATTCGACGTGCCACATGTCACGATTCGAATACACATTCAATTCCCGATATCCCATGATCCTGTGTCGTACGTCACGTCACGATACGACTATTATTATCGAAGTTATGACGTAATGTCTTCTTGCCAGCCTTCTTTTCTTTTCTCAATTCAGCGTTTTCTTTCATTCACATGCTGCACGTCACAATTCGAATCCACCTCCGATTCCTGATCGCCCGATCCCGACGTCACATTGAGAACGAGAGATCGGGAATTAGGAAAGTCTAAACATGACCAGAATGAAGCTTCATAAGGGAAAACATGAAATGTTGGGGCCGGAGACTCCTGACCCCATTACTCTTCTGCAATAACTCATTGCGGGTTTCTTTATTTCCCAAATATTTGATGTAAGAAATGACTTTTCCAAGAACGTGACATATAAAGTTTCACAGGTAATTTCAGTCACGTTCTTTATTGTAAGGGTTTTATATAACGAAGACGACAAGTTGAAAGGAAAACCTTCACACATGATAGGATTGAGTTTCTTTTTCACAGATATTACACTGGCCAATGCTCTGCCGAAATAAGAAATATATTCACCATAAGTTCAATGTATTTCTTCATTATTTTGAAGAGTCCCACCCCGAATAGACAGTTTTTCAGTGTTTTTGGGAAATACAGTTTTTGGCTTTCTACTACTCCATCTTGATATAAAAAAAGGATGAGGGAATCTTCCAAAGAAAGGAAGGAAGTAATCAATTTGAAAATAAGTAACTATACATGGATGTGTAGATCATGCAAAGAAGCAACTTTTATTTTATCAGTAACTTATCACATTCTGAGGGCATGTGGCTGGACACGCTGCTAACATCGGCCCACAAATAAGGTACCTGGAAGGCATTGCGAAGATCGTTTTTGTGTAGTCATTGTAGTGAGGCCCCCCTTCTTGTTGGAAGATTGCTCACGTTCAGCCTATTCCCAAAAAGGGCAAGAAAAATCTTCCAAATAACTATAGACCAGTCGCTTTGGTATCAGTGATATCAAGAATCACGGAGAAAGTCGTAAACCACCATATTCCCAAATATTTGATAGGGCCAGCCAGCGCTCTCTGTAGTGTATGCGATAATGTGCTCTGTCTAATGTCAGTAGTTTCTACAAACTTCGTATTTTTGTTAAAATAATTTCAAAATGAATGTTGAGGCTAGTTTTGTTGAAGCTGACTACCGACAACTTACCAACAGTCGATTTTGAAATGATCGATGAATTTTACTTGAGAAATTCGCATTTGGTATCGAAATGAAGAATGAAATATTGAAACAGTAGGTGATATACTTAGTAGGTCTCTTTTATTTATATGACATTCATTTCAGACTTTGTCTTTATCGAAGGATGGAAAGTTTTAATTTAATTTTTATTTTATCTCGGCCACGGAGCAGTATGGTGACTGAGAAGGGAAGCAAAAATATGTACAGTGAAATGTAGAATTACTCCAGAACATATCAATCCAAAAATAACCTGAAAAAATATTTTTCGGAATGTAAACTAATGACACGGAATATACAGCAAAATAGGCACCCGCTGAGACCTACCTTTTACAAAAATACGTTCTTTAATTAGATAATTGTTCACAACAATTGTTGTTGTTGACAACAATAACAACAAAAATGGCGTCTGTCAAATTTGATCATCAGACCTGTGATTGGATATTAAAAACCAATACACTTGGCAACTCCGCTCTAGACACGATCAATTTTATTGGTCAACAGACACGCGGCAAATTTAAATTCTAAAAACTGTACACACCTCAACAACTTTTGATGCTTTATAAAACTCAGATCAGACCTTCTTTGGAGTATTGTTCTCATGTATGGAGCTCTGCTCCCAAACATACCCTGCAGTTGCTGGAACCATTCAGAAAAGAGCCACCCGCCTGATTGGAGACGCGAACGTCACGTGCAACCTTGATAGCCTGGAACATCGAAGAAAGGTTGAAGATTTGTCTCTCTTCTATAGATACTTTCAAGGGAAGTTTTCAAGTGACCTGACACATTTAATTCCACCAAAAGCGGTACATATCAGAAATACGGGACGGACTGTGGCTGCTCATCGTTTTGAAGTTGAACTCAGTACACCTCGAACTTCATTCTTTAAGAACTCTCTCATCTGGAGAACTGTAACCTTTTGTTTCATTGTTAACATACGATAATTTCCTTCTCGCCATAAAATATTCTCTTTTCCATAATTTTAAATAAATAGCTGATGATGAACCTATATGCGTTCGAAACATGTACTGAGTGATGGTTTTGCCGTTCTAACATCTGATGGTGATATTAAATTGTGGAGACGACTTTCAGATATAATGGACTTCTACCAGAGGTTGGTATGTGAAATAAACTTTCTGCAAACGTTTTTTCCAATGGATTTGATCTCCAGCGATTCAAATCCAATGTGAATTACTACTTTTGCACAGGCACCGCTCTGAGAGCGCCTCAAGGGTGTTCTTGTAGTGATTGTGTTCTGTCATTGAAAAAAATCACGCCGGTATCCAGGCCGGGCTAAAATGCTTTTTTGGTTCGAGCTAGCACCAATGATGAGACCTATGACAGCTTGAAACAGTGTTGTTTGGTGTTAGATCATGAATGCATTATGTTTGGGTTCTGTTAAGTTAGGTTGGGTTGAGTTAGGTTATTATCTGTTATATTATATGTTAGGTTGTTATGAATGTTTCATCCATTTCAATGTCATGTTTTTTGTAGCTCCATATCTCAATAAATAGTCATGCTACTGTGTCGTATATACTGATCCATAGAGAATGTTGTGTCCCATACATTGATGCATTTTTTTTTCAAAAACTACACTTCACGATTTGATCTCTACAAACTTTATTTGAAAAATATATCACAACATGTTTCGCTGGCACAGTAGCTTTTTCAAGTAATCTATACTTCAAGTTGATGTTACATTATATTACTTACATTATATTTCTTACGTTTTTCTTACCATAATTCAAAAAATTACCTGAACCTCTACCTAAGGTGTACCTGTTCTATCATGACCACCTGAAGCATATTATCTCACATCTACTTCAATAATAATTCTTTCTCGGTTTTTAAGAAAACAAGTTCAATAATGGTGATCTATATTTAAATCCAGTTTTGTCATTCATTAGACTGTTTGAATTTTTCAGTTTATTAATTTCCATTGCTTTCAAATGATTCAGTTTCAAATCTTTATTTTCGATGCTCAAAGTTTTGAACTCTTCATTGAAGATATGATTTTCTTCTAGAAAATGATTTGAATATGTTGAATTTGTTTTCTTATTTACATAGCTCGTATGATGTTCCTGGATTCGATTCCTGAATGTCCTGCCAGTTTGACAAATATATACACACTTTAATTAATATACTCCTGATTTCTCAAATTTTGATGTTTTTTCTTTATTATTTTTAACCAACTTTCCCATGTTCTTTATGCAATTTTAATATCTCGTTTCCTAAAAAATGAAGCCACTTTTTCCATTGGTTGTCCAAAATAGGTTAAAGCTCTATAATTTAGATTATCTACCTTATAAATGGGAAAAACGTCTCGAATCGCTTTTGCGTAGACTTTCTTGGCAAGTATTTTGTTTATTATTTCGGTTTTAAACCCATTGTTACCGCAATTTGCTTGATGATAATTAGTTCTTTATTGAAATTATCTATTGAAAGAGGAACATTGACTAATCTGTGAATCATGCTATTATAAGCTGCTACTTTGTGTTGATAATGATGGGTAGAATCGTAATGTATAGTAGGTAATATCCGAATAGGACGGTTTGTGATAAATTGAAAAATCATGTTTGTTGTTCATTGTATTGTTAGGTCCAAGAAATTGATTGAGCTCAGTACCTGTAAAACATACCAAAACGTCATCCAATAGAGAGACTTTGCTCTCTTGTAGTTGAGAAATTTATCTAATTTCTTGCAAAAAAGGGAGTTTTTACAAGATCTAAAAATGTCAGCAGGAGGTGCTTTGTTTGGTAGCGCAGCCGCGGGTCCAGATTCAACTGGTGGAAACGAACATTTAATAAAAGTACGAGCAGGAAAACTGAATTTGAGAGGAAAAACAGTGACATCAGATAAACGTAAAGGGTTATTGTATGTGTATCAAACTGAGGAATCTTTGATGCATTTTTGCTGGCAGGATCGAACCACAGGAGTAGTCGAAGATGATTTGATGATCTTTCCTGATGACTGTGAATACGTCACGGTCCCTCAGTGTATCACAGGCAAGGCATTCTTGTTGAAATTCAAGTCTTCTGATAAGAAGTTCTTTTTCTGGTTGCAGGAGCCTAAGACGGATAAGGATGACGATAACTGCAAAAGAATTAATGAACTGTTAAATAATTCATCAAGTGATGTCCAAACTACACCAAATCCAGATCAAGATCTACAATCCCTTTTGAATAATATGTCTCAGTCGTAGCTGATGCAGTTCTTTGGAAATTGTGTAGGTCAAGTGAGTGGTTTGTCCAGTCTCCTAGGAACGATTAGGGATCCAAATAGTGGTAGTGCTCGTACCAATACCACACCAGCAATAACTCACCGCACAACAGTTCCGAGCACTCTGATAACTACAGCTGCTGCCAATCCAACAACCCCTTCAGTAGGTCTAACCACACCTCAGAGGTCAATTCCGACAGCTGTTCCTGATGCTCGTAAACCTAGAACTATTACCAGAACTCCTGATACTGCTTCACCCTCTTCCTTTGCTAATCCAATTCAGCTGTCAGACTCACAAAACTTCTTGTCTGGACTTTCTACACCAGTAGCAAGTGCTGATGACACTCAACAGCAATCAGTGAATATATCAACTGCTTCAAATACTGAGACACTGTCTGGTATTCTGAGTAGCCCCGCAACCCTTGAACAATTACAAGGTCATCTGCCTGCAGTTGATGGTTATCCACAACAAGCTCTTTGATCCACATTGGCTTCACCACAGTTTGTATCTCAGTTCTCCAGTGCTCTAGAATCTGGTTAACTCGGTCCAATAGTGTCTCAATTTGCTGTCAATACTGAAGCCGTGACCGCAGCAGCCCTGGGCAACATGGCGAATTTTATGAAGGCGTTGGAAAGTAGCGGATCCTCTACTGAAGCCGGTAAATCTGCTGAAAATAAAGATAAGGTCAAGGATAAGACCACCAAGAAGGATGATAAGAAAGATGACGATGAACATATGCAACTTGACTAAATTTCAGCACAACAGTAGGGAACTTTTTAGTTAAACTTCTTTTAATATGTCCATTACATACATGCTTCATGTATTGCTTCAATTTAGATTTGTTAAGAAAATGTTTGATATACATACATGCTTGATGAAATGATTCTATTAATGAAGTAATAGTATCATCAGGAGGTATACTGGGAAATAGATTATGCACATCAAAGTCATATGAATTCCGTAGACTGAATTTTGGTTGGAAATTACAATGGTTCAAGATGATATTGATTAGCCTTTCCGATAATTACACTGATGGTGCAGTGACAAAGGAAACCACTGGTCTAATTGGATAACTCGGTTTGTGCAATTTTATAAGTGAATATAATTTAGGCATTTGGGGGTTCATCAATGTTAGTTTGAACTTTTCCCTTTCAGTAGAAAGTATGTTTGAATTTTTCAAAAATTCTTCCACTTGTCTTTGGAAAGAATTAGTTGGATCGCGTTTCTGCATTTCAAAATTTCCTAAATTTAAGAAATCAAAAGTTTTGTTGACTCAGTCGATTCGGTCAATAGCAATAGCGTATTGATTTCACAAGTTTCAATACATTCGTAAAACTACCTCCTTTCAACAATTCTGATTTTATGATATGTGACGCCTATTATTGCTATTCAATGACCCTCCTAATGCTATTTCAGTTTCTCTCCCCAAAATTTCAAAGTTGTAAGTTCTATATTCATTTCCATTGATATATTTGAAACCTTTTTCTATCAACACATTTTCAGTGTATGTGAACTGAAACTTCGATAAATTTATGAACCTGTCATAAAATCTATGATTCGTGAATTCATCAAATAACGACGAATCAATTGTAGTGTTGAATAGAGCTGGCCCATACTTGATGAAAATCCATATTCAAACTCATCAATACAGTTTATTGTATGATTTTCATTATAAAGGGTTTTGCAAAAACATTGACATGTGTTTTATACTCTAACACATTACATACTTGTTGGCCCACTTTCTAAAGAATGAATCTACCTGAAACAGGTCAGATATAAATTCATCACCTATATTTTTCAGGGCTGGTTCGACACGGTACGAAACAAACACGCTTGATAAAAATGTAAAAACAGCATGGTTATTTAAAGCTTCATCGTTCTGTGAAATTTTCTGAACTTTAAACAACACCTCCCAAAATATCCATTCGCCACAAAGTAGTATTTAACATTATAGCACGCTTTATTTATAACTGGGTTAAAAATATTCAGTTTTGCCTTCTTCCTTTCATATCCTTGTTCTATATTGTCTCGCCAAACTTGAACGTTATATTCCTAATTTCAGTTTATGAGAACAGGAGGAATATAAAAATGTCGGATAAACTAATTTTGGGGTGAAGCTCAATGTGTTTCGAAAATTGCAATTACATTTCATTTTCATATTTGTCAGAATTTATCAGTGACACTTCAGTTCCAGTGTTTGTGTCCATTCCCATCATTGTTCATGATTTTGTCAGTGCTAGTCGTCTGCAGTTTCCTCTGTCAACCGAAAATATTAAATATCAAATTTTCTGTTCATGGGATGGGTGGTGATATAATTCGGTGTACAGATGTCTGTAACCATTCAGTTAGTATAGATTCGCCTGAAGAGGCTATTGGATAACGAAACACGTGTTGCGTATTTGAAGAACTGTTTAGTGTAAATCTCAGAATGAAGAATTACTTGAATATGTTTTTATGGAGTATCAGCCGACTGAGTTCACTTACTCCTGAATGCTCAAGTGATTCTTCGTATCATGTCTTCTATATATAAAACTCAAACAAAAAAATTTCAAGCCATGGATAACAAATGATATCATACGAGAAGGAAAAACGGTAAAAGACATGTTCTGGCTTATTTCTTCTAGTAACACTGTAGACTCTGATGTGATGCATAGTTATAGGGCAAAACTAAAAAATCACAAATTCGAAATAAAACAAGGAAAGACCAACTATTATAATGCAAAATATATACCTCGAACAATAAAACTGAACAAGTATGGACTATCATAAATAACGAACTTCGGAAAAAACTAAATGTAAAAATCCATCATGTATAGTTTTGAAATATAACAATCAAGAAATTGAAGATCAACAAATGGTTGCAGATTTGTTTGCTAAGCATTTCTCTTCAGCGGCTGCAACAGCAATTTCGGATCATTTTGGATGTAACTAAATTCTACCATGTACTTTTGCCAAGAATATTGTCATTCAAAATGAATTCGATCTCTCAGAAATTTCACCGCTTGAAGTTTTGAAAACTTTAGATAATATGAGGAACAAAAATTCAGCTGGTATTGATGATATGTCTATTGTTACTGTAAAGCAAATTATTGATATAATTATTGAACCATTAGTTTTTTTGCTTAACCAGTCCTTTTATGGGGGTTTTTTCCCAGATGAATTGAAGAGGGCTCTTGTCTTTCCACTGCACAAAAAAGGTCGGAAAACAGAAATTGACAATTATAGGCAGATTTCGTTGATTTCATCCTTTTCAAAACTCTTTGAGAAAATAATAGGTAATAGAATTTTGATGTATATTGAACAAAATGACCTATTCTGCAATAATCAACATGGTTTCAGGAAGAGTAAATCAATTGAATCTGCATCTTATCAACTATTGAACTATATTTATGCACAAGTGGATAATAANTAACTTTTCCCAAATTAATATCCTAAAGAGGCATATCCGAAAATGAAATACATCTTCAGAGTGAATATGAGAATACTGAATGGAATGCTGATGGTGTTAACATTTTTGGCTTGAGGAAGATGAAAATAGCAGATGCTATAAACAGAATTGTTTTCGCCCACCTGAATTCCAACGATAAACTCACTCGCCGGTTTCTAACACACTTTTTCGTTATGATACATGTTAATAAAAGTTTGTTTCACTTAGTGAAGATATTTTTAAAATCTCCTTTATCCGAATATTACGAATAATGTTACAAAACTCCCTATCAAGATTTTTGGATACTATTCGATTGTCCGTTTTTATGAGTATATTCCAAACTGTAATATCTCAGTGAATACTGATTCAATTGAACGAAATGAACGCCATTTGAATCAGAGCACCTTTGGCAACGATTAGTTCCCTCAGCATAAAAACTGTCCTCGGTATTGGATGGAGTCGACGAATGTCGTTTTGCCAGGTCCTCATTGGCAAGTTATCGAAGTGCTTGAAAAAGATGTTAGTCGGTTGGCGAGAGGTCTGGAGACAATGGTGGCTGAGGCAGAACTTCGATGCTCAAATCGTAAAATTTTCGGAGGATTATTTGTGAATCGTGCGGATGGGCATTGTCGTGGAGCAGGATCGGACCTCTTCTGTTGGCCTGAGTGCTCGCTGCTGCTGACGCAATTCTCGGTGCATTTCGTCAATTCCCTCACAACATATCCCTTCTGTGGTATTTTGGCCTGGTTGCAGGAAGTTATAGTGAATCATACCAGCCCTGGTCACTATACAGTAACCTTTTTTTTATGGGTTTTTGCCTTTGGGAAGTGTCTATCTCATCCGTGTCCATCTGCCTATTATAAAGGTCTGCGATGGAAAAATTGTAGGATATTTAACTAGTGATTTTAAACAGATAACGTGCAGATTACGGAAAAAAATTTAAAAAATTCTTGGAAAACGGAACACATCGTTTTGTCATATCATCTCTGATGTATCCTGTGATACATATACATTTGGGAACACATGGCAGGATACACATTCCTGGGTACGGTTCTGGAAATCTATTTTGGCACGTTGGTGTCTCTGAACAGGCAGAGACACATGGCTCTCGATATGCTTTGTCTCCACAATCATCTGAAATTAAAATAATTTCAGTGAAAAATGTATGGGTGAGTTGAAACATATCAAGAAGCAATAATTCACCACTACGTGTCAAACAAATGAAAGAAGATTTCA